AGGCGACTGTGGCTAGCACAGCCCAACGTGCGGTCGACAGCCGACGAGGCCGACCAACAGGGCAACGGCCATGGCCAGGAATGGCCAGGTAGCGGCGGCGTGCTCATGTGGTGACTGTGGGGCTCAGGCCGAGTGACTGAGAATGACGCCATGCATGCTTTTCAAAGCAGACCAAAATCTACTTACTAATTCGACGAAAGCTCAACCAAGTCCACGAACCCAAAATCAGCACTAACGGCTAGCTAACGAAGCAATTGGTACCACCAGAGGATGACCAGAGAGGAAGTTGGAGAGACGCCAAGATAGGTCCATCGCGTTGAACGCTAGTTCACGAACAGAGCGCCAACAGAATAGTTACAACACGTTTCGACGAAATTTGGGTAATTTTTAAGAGGGCCACGTGACACCCAACACAACTACAACCTACACCATGCTCAAGGGCTTGCTTAGAGGCAACCAATAGTACAAGAACATGATGTTAGAGTTTAAATAATTTTGTTAGAATTTGAATGTCAAAATGGCATTGTCTACTATCATTTCCAGACTTAGAAAAGGGCAAGGTTCAGTTAGAACTAACAACCATTAGCGCTTTCGTCATAATTTTTAACATGTCTAAACCTTATTATTTTCAACCAATAAGCATTTCACATAATAGTCCATACTTCATACTAACCCATAGGAGCAAAACATTTAAGCACCATTTAACTATTTTGCTCAATATTATTCTCTAAAAATGACACTTTAACCACAATTTCAACTTCGTGCTGATTTAACAAAAAGTCCTTGTTTAAATTTCGGATTCGATTTTTGAGATCCCCAAAAGCACTAGTTAACCATGTTCACTTTCCAAAATTAAAGTTGCATTCCCATCTACACTATTTGCTCATCATTTTTACATAAGCACTATACATATGTTATATTTTGTTTTTGTTTATAGAAATTGTTTTTCGTTTCCTGTGTGTTTTAACTTGTTAAAATTCGAAAACTCGTTTGGCTAGATTCTCCAAGGCCTTAACCTAGATGCTAAGCAAGATCGTAACACCAGAGGTGTTACACTCCCTGTCTCGAACGCGTAGATCCACCTTGTCCCTGTTCCATAGTCGTAGAACATGTTGAGCATCTCCCGCACGAGCATGCCGGTGTTCGCATCCCGCGTGAGGTGCCTTGTGTCAACGCAGGCGTGGCCGTCCTGTAGCCAGGCACTTATGGTGGCCCGGTACTGGGTTCGGTGACGTGGTCACAGAGCCCACTACCATAGTCAGAGAGCTGGTACTCGGGGCAGCGACGGAGGCAGCTGCGCCGACGGTGTAGTAGCCGGGCGGTGTAGCTCTCGCGCCACGGCATGGAGGAGGAGGAGCACAGGGGCTACGAGTGGTGATGTGCGGGCTCTAGGTCTGTGAATGGGGAGAAGAGAGGTGATGGTGGGTGAGAGAAACACAAATGGGTGGGAGGTGAGACAAGAAACACAACTGGGTGAGAGGTGAGACGAAGCATGTGTACGCGAAGGAGAGATCCAGACTCGGAAAAAAACGAAGTCCATTTTTGTTTCTCCGGGTCCTGGCTCCAACCTACTTTAAGACGTGTATGGGCTGGGCTCCCGAAGCATCTTGGCAAACAAACATGGGCAGCTACAGCGCACGAGCCTGTCCTAAAAGGCCGTCCAGGCAATCAAACACGTCCAAAGAGAGCAAGTGTGGGAGAAGAATGAGCATGTCGATGGGTCCACAAGCATACCGTGTAATCTATCCAAGCCAAGCCTGAATAAGAGTTAGCTCTTCTCCCTCTCTCTCCCTTCTCTTTCTTTCGTGTAGGCAACATGTTGAGCTAGGGACTGTATGAGCTAGCTGAGGTGTCATTATTATAGTCGTCCTTAGAGTCACTGTATATTTTATTATTGAAGAGAATACGTTGCAACAACATTGCCATTTTTATTGATGTGGCTAGCCAGCTCTATATATGTCCATGCAGCTCGTAGCCTGACGGCACAGCTCAAAGCATGGTTTTTTGGCCTGGCCCAAGCACGGCACGCCCATGTATTGTGCGGGCCTAGGCCAGCACGACCTGATGCACAGGGCTGTGCCTAGGACGCACCCCAGGCACATGGGCTGGCATGTCATGGGCCGCATTTTAGTGCCAGGCCTGGTTGAAAGGTCCTAATGGCTAGAGGGGTGAATAGTCTATTAAAAAATTTCCACAACAACACTAAAACAAATGATTAGTCAATAAGATGCCGAAGCAAATTTTGCGCTAGCACTATACTTGAGGTTGCAAGCCATCTACCCAATTCTATTTTCTATGATCTCTAGTATATCACAACAAAGCTATGTCACTAATATACACCTAGGTGATCAACCTAGTGAGAGTAATACAATTGAATGATACACTATCTAGTCTTAACTACTACTAGCTCTATCCAAGTGAATGTATAATGAAATACAAGAGAGTGGTAGAGAGGTATACCGCCGTGGCAAGTGACCAATGAGTGAATACCAATGAATACCAAGGAGACAATCAAGACACAATGATTTTTCCTCCGAGGTTCACTTGCTTGTCAGCAAGCTAGTCCCTGTTGTGGCGATTCACTCACTTGGAGGTTCACGCCAAACCCTCAATAGGGTGCCGCACAACCAACACAAGATGAGGATCACACAAGCCATGAGCAATTTACTAGAGTACCTTTTGGCTCTTCACTAGGGAAAGGTCAAGAAACCCTTACAATCACCACGATCGGAGCCGAAGACAATCACCAACCTCCGCTCGACGATCCTCGCTGGTCCAAGCCATCTAGGTGGCGACAACCACCAAGAGTAACAAGCGAATCCCACAGCAACACACGAACACCAAGTGCCTCTAGATGCAAACACTCAAGCAATGCACTTGGATTCTCTCCCAATCTCACAAAGATGATGAATCAATGTTGGAGATGAGTGGGAGGACTTTGGCTAAGCTCACAAGGTTGCTATATCAATGTAAATGGCCAAGAGAGTGAGCTAGAGCCGGCCACATGGCTTTAAATAGAGCCCCCAATGAAATAGAGCCATTGGCTCCTTAGTCCTCTGAAACACGGGCTGACCGAACGCACCGGTCAGGTTGACTGGACGCTGGACCCCTACGTCTGGTCGCCCGATGCTCACCATGTGTCTCCTCTTTTGATTCTCCAACATACGATCTCAACGGTCTATTCTTAGCATCTTTCGTGATTAAGTGGTGACCGGACCTCTGCTCAAAGTGACCAGATGCTCCATCACTGGAGTCCAGTCATTTCCAGAAAGGTTCCAGAGACGGTTTTTTGCGACCGGATGCATCCGGTGGCTCATGACCGGACCTAGGCCAGCGTTCGGTCCACTCAGCCTCACTCTGTTGCTTGCATCAGCGTATGTCACTAGGTGACCGGACGACACCCTGCACGTCTGGTCCCTCTTTCTCTTCAGTGTCCGATCAAGAGACCGAGGGCGACCTTCACTACGCGCCACTGACCGGATATGGGGTTAGAGTCCGGGCACTGCCCAAGGCAGAGTCCGGTCAATACAAAATTCTCCTTTTAACCCCAAACTTCACCACCCTTGATTAAATGTGCCAACCACCAAGTGTATCACCTTGTGCACATGTGTTAGCATAATTTCACAAACATTTTCAAGAGTGTTAGCTTTCCACTAGATCCTAAATGCATATGCAATGAGTTAGAGCATCTAGTGGCACTTTGATAACAGCATTTCGATAAGAGTTTAACCCCTCTTAATAAAATGGCTATCGATCCTAAATGTGATTATACTTTCTAAGTGTCTCGATCACTAAACCGAAAAGCTCTTATCAATTTCACATTTGCCTTGAGCCTTTTGTTTTTCCTTCTTCTTTTCCAAGTCTAAGCATTTGATCATCACCATGCCATCAGCATCATCATGTCATGATCTTCATTTGCTTCACCACTTGGAGTAGTGCTACCTATCTCTTAATCACTTTGATAAACTAGGTTAGCACTTAGGGTTTCATCAATTTACCAAAACCAAACTAGAGCTTTTAATCTCCACCTTTTTGGTAATTGATGACAACCCTTTCATAAAGATATGAATTGAAATTCAATTGAATCCATGTTGCTTGCCCAAGCATATTTACCATGTGTAAAAGGATATGGACAAGTTTCATGAACCCCAAATGGTAGCAATTGCTCCCCCTACATATGTACTAAGAATTTGGATTATAGTTTGCACATATGCTTAGATAGGAAATATAGGAGACAATGTCTACCAAATGATGCTAATGCATAAAAGATGGACCTTTGAAGCATGATACCAATCGGAGTGCACCAATATACCATCCTTAGCACCATTTATAACTAGACATACATAAAAACAAGAATACCCCGTGAGATCAACATTAGAAGTAAGGGTCTAGTTTTCATAATATGATCATGAGTCTAGTTACTTAACCTATGCATGCTAGTTTTTCATTTCATCGTTGAAACCTACCACTAGCATATACCATCCAAGCATGGATATTGAAATTTAAAACTTGTGCCATGCAAGCAAACATATGAAATACACATCCAAATGCATCCACCAAGTTTATGAGGTTGCTCCCCCTACTTGTGTGCTCAAAATTTTAATTGATCCCTTTCTTTGTCATATCTCTCCTCCTATGTCAATTTTCACTATTTCTCCCCCTATCTCCTACAACTAAAAAGAACAAAGCGTGGACACTCTTTGGTGTGACATTTGTTTTGGGTCTGCCTCTCCCCCCGTGCGATCCCGCGCGCCCATCACCTCTCTCTTTCGCCCGTCCGTGCGGTGGACCCAGCTTTGCGCTCCCTCACGCGCATGGTCTTCCCCTCCCCCTCTCCCACACGTGCGACTCACAAACTCCTCCTCTCATCTCCCACATAGACGAACCCTAGCCCTCAATCACACCGAGCTCGCGGAACCGCCCAACCCGAGCCCAATTCCACTCGGGTCCTGGCCGATCCGGTGGCTCCTCAGCAGCACGATCCGGGGCAGCGTCCCCCCATGGATGTTATCCTGATCGGGTCCCCACGGTCGATGGGTTCGCATAGGTCCACCAATGGCAGACGCGGCGAGTACGTGAGGATCCCAGAGGAGGTGGAGGTGGCATCCAAGGGGGAGGGGGATGCCATGGTGCCTGTTAAGGCGGTCACGATGGCGGAGTGCCCGATGGTGCTGTGGTGCTACGTGATCCGGTGGTGGGCCAAGGTCGCCGTGCTCGGGATCATCCTTGCTGGGGCCGTAGCTGCTGCGGTCTTCTTCCCCGGCCCACTCCTTATCAAGAAGGTGCATGTTCTCGCCCATCCCTCCTCCCACCCCTCCGCCGCTACCTCCTTTGAGGGGGATTGCTTGCATCATGGATCGTGCGGAAATTGCTTTCGCGAACGGGAGATCTTTCCTATTACTTCTAAGTTCTGCTCCTACTGTGTCCGTTGAATCGTCGGTTGCGATGCGGTTTCGATTTGTGTAGGAATGCTTGGATATTTGTTGATATTTTTGTTTGTTTGTGGTAGAAACATTTTTCCTTTCTTGGTTTGTGTTGTTATATGTTTTTTTTGTGGCTAGCTTGTGAGAATAGGTGACATGACTAATTTTCATTTTGCCGATATTACCAGCAAAAGGATGAGGTTGTCAAGAGTTTTAGGATCTCAATCTAAAGCAAAGCTTAGAATAGAATACCAATAGATTTCGTTGAGATATCAGTTTTAAAGATTACTGGGACCGTATAGGATGTCGTTGTTCAAAGAACACATTTAGAATTATTCCCAACTGCAATACAGGAGAAGGAGAAATGCTTTGCCAATTCTTGAAGTTTTGACATCAGCCAATGCCTCTCACTGGTATTTAGTGGCCCAATATGTGGGGTCTGCAGGCATGGTGCTCTGGACCTCCAGTAGTGTATGTGCTTTCACCAAAAGGTGGATAGGTAGGAATAGTCTCACAAACCAACTAGTTCTTGATTTTTTGGATGTTATAAGATGCGGTACAGATTTCCAGTGAACCTTATTATGACGGGCATCATGGCTACAATTTTTTGGTGGCCTTCTTAATTAAACAAACCCAATTTGGTTGAGAAAATCATATTCACAACAAGCAACTTCACATGGAAGTGATACCAAGAACAAGTACAGCTTGTGCTACCGTTCTGACTCTGGACCCACTTGAGTGGTCTTCCTTGGAAGCAAACTCTGTTGTGAAAGCTATTCCCCAGAGTTGGTAGAAATAGTTTTCCATTTTCTATCCATGCTCCTGTTATCATAGTTAAATTCAGGAGGAATACTCCACAAGTCTTTTTTTGGCAATATGTTTTCGTTGGATGTTGATGTAGTTGGTGATAAATTACACTTTGCTTGCTTATTTTATTGTAGTGTTCAAGGTTTTTAATATATTATGACACAGAATATTAATTGATCTCTTTGGAAGTCAATTTTTTTTGGGTGTCTACATTGGATGAGGGTGTCATGTGAATTTGTAGAGTAGACTTGAAATTGTCGTAGTGTGCTATGACTCTTGGAAAACAAAAAATCTTGGCCCAATGAGCCATAACATTCTGTTAAATCTAATCATTGCACTGTGATTGGCCTTTATATCTAAGATATGAACCGATGCTCCATCCGTGCTTGCCTTTATAACGTAAATTATTTGGAATGAATTGGTAATGCTATTAGTTGTGATATTTCTGGTTATAAAAAGGATTGAAATTGTTTTCAAATTAATGTTTACAGCTCTATCTACAATTACTAACTAAACTTTATTATCCCTTCCAAAGGTTTACAATATTAAGTCGGATCGGACACTTATGTATAATAAAGTCAATAGCACGTGCAAGGAGCGCTGTAATTAGGGTCATGTGCCTATGGACGCTACTTTGTTTGCGTCACTTCAAAGTAAATTATATGAGAGAGTTCTCCGGGAAGTTGATGATCATTTCGTGTTATGCGAACATCTTCATTTCACTTATCGAGAGCTTAAGGTTCCATTCTCGTTGAATTGAGTGAATAAGTTGGTTGCATCATCTATTTATCGGCACCAATTTAGTGTGACCACCTTATAGTCCACTTGAATAGACGTGTTGGCTTTCTTTAATAACTTTTGATGCCCCAGATATCCCTGGATTGCGTTCTTAGTTTCTTGCTGACCATGATCCATGTTGTCATTGCAGGTTGTTGCACCTATTCTTTACTGGGAATCAACAACTTTCAGCACACCAGCTATTGCTCTAATATGTTTTGGCGCAATAGACTTATTCCCAAGTGTTTTGTTACCTTCTTCACCCTTCATGTGGCCAGCGGTGGACCCGGCTCTCCCCTTGTGCGACATTTGTTTTGGGTCTGCCTCTCCCCCTGTGCGATCCCACACGCCCGTCACCTCCCTCTTTCGCCCGTCCATGCGGTGGACCTGGCTCTGCGCTCCCTCGCGCGCATGGTCTTCCCCTCCCCCTCTCCCACACGTGCGACTCACGGACTTCTATTCTCATCTCCCACACGGACGAACCCTAGCCCTCAATCATGCCGAGCTTGCCAAAACCCATCCAACTCAAGCCCAATTCCGCTCGGATCTTGGCCGATCTGGTGGCTCCTCAGCAGCACGATCCGGGGCAGCATCCCCCCATGGATGCTAGCTTGATTGGGTCCCCACGGTCGATGGGTTCGCCCGGGTCCGCCAATGGCAGACGCGGCGAGTACGTGAGGATCGGAGGAGGTGGAGGTGGTGTCCAAGGCGGAGGGGGATGCCGCGGTGGCCATCAAGGCAGCCACAGTGGCGGAGTGCCCGATGGTGCTGCGGTGCCATGCGATCCGGTGGTGGGACAAGGTCACCGTGCTCGGGATCGTCCTTGCTGGGGCCGGAGTTGCTGCGGTCGTCTTCCTCGACCTGCTCCTTATCAAGAAGGTGCGTGTTCTCGCCCCGTCCCTCCTCCCTCCCTTCCGCTGCCGCCTCCTTTGAGGAGGATTGCTTGCATCACGGATCGTGCAAACAACTAAAAAGAACAAAGCGTGGACACTTTTTTGTGCGACATTTATTTTGGGTCTGCCTCTCCCCACGTGCGATCCCGCGTGCCCGTCACCTCCCTTTTTCGCCCGTCCATGCGGTGGACCCGGCTCTGCGCTCCCTCATGCACATGGTCTTCCCCTCCCCCTCTCCCACACGTGCGACTCGTGGACTCCTCCTCTCATTTCCCACACGGAGGAACCTTAGCCCTCAATCACGCCGAGCTCGCCGAAACCCGCCCAACCCAAGCCCAATTCCGCTCGGGTCCTGGGCGATCCGGTGGCTCCTCATCAGCATGATCCGGGGCAGCGTCCCCGGTGGATGCTAGCCTAATTGGGTCCCCATGGTCGATGGGTTTGCCCGGGTCCACCAATGGTAGACGCGGCGAGTACATGAGGATCCCGGAGGAGGTGGAGGTGGCGTCCAAGGGAGAGGGGATACCACGGTGGCTATCAATGTGGCCACGGCGGCGGAGTGCCGAGGGTGCTGTGGTGCCACGCGATCCGATGGGGGCCAAGGTTGTTGTGCTCGGGATCATCCTTGCTAGGGCCGTAGCTGCTGCGGTCGTCTTCCTCGGCCCACTCCATATCAAGAAGGTGCCTGTTCTCGCCCCGTCCCTCCTCCCTCCCCTCCGCCGCTGCCTCCTTTAAGGGGGATTGCTTGCATCATGGATCGTGTGGAAATTGCTCGCGAACGGGAGATCTTTCCTACTACTTCTAAGTTCTGCTCCTCATTGTGTCCGTCCGATAAATCGCTTGCTGCGATGCGGTTTCGATTTGTGTAGGAATGCTTGGATATTTGTTGATATTTTTGTTTGTTTGTGGTAGAAACATTTTTCCTTTCTTGGTTTGTGTTGTTATATTTTTTTGCGGCTAGCTCGTGAGAATAGGTGACATGACTAATTTTCATTTTGCCAATATTACCAGCAAAAGGATGAGGTTGTCAAGAGTTTTAGGATCTCAATCAAGCGAGCTTAGAATAGAATACCAATAGATTTCATTGAGATATCAGTTTTAAAGATTCTTTGGGACCGTATAGGATGTCGTTGTTCTAAGAACACATTTAGCATTATTCCCTAAAAGCGCAATACTGAGAAGGAGAAATGCTTTGCCAATTCTTGAAGTTTTGACATCACCAATGCCTCTCACTTTGGTATTTAGTGGCCCAAATGTAGGGGTCTGCGGGCATGGTGCTCTGGACCTCTAGTAGTGTATGAGCTTTCACCAAAAGGTGGATAGGTAGGAATAGTCTCACAAACCAACTGGTTCTTGATTTTTGGATGTTATAAGATGCGGTATGATTTCAAGTGAACCTTATTGTGACGGGCATCATGGCTACAATTTTTTGGTGGCCTTCTTAATTAAACAAACCCACTTTGGTTGAGAAAATCGTATTCGCAACAAGCAACTTCACATGGAAGTGATACCAAGAACAAGTATAGCTTGTGCTATCGTTCGACTCTGGACCCACTTGTGTGGTCTTCCTTGAAGCAAACTCTGTTGTGAAAGCTATTCCCCCGAGTTGGTAGAAATAGTTTTCCATTTTACATCCATGCTCCTGTTATCATAGTTAAATTCAGGAGGAATACTCCACAAGCCTTTTTGGCAATATGTTTTCGTTGGTTGTTGATGTAGTTGGTGATAAATTACACTTTGCTAGCTTATTTTATTGTAGTGTTCAAGGATTTTAATATATTATGACACGAGAATATTAATTGATCTCTTTGGAAGTCAAATTTTTTTAGGTGTGTCTACATTGGATGAGGGTGTCATGTGAATTTGTAGAGTAGACTTGAAATTGTCGTAGTGTGCTATGACTCTTGGAAAACAAAAATCTTGGCCCAATGAGCCATAACATTACGTTAATTCTAATCATTGCCTATGATTGGCCTTTATATCTAAGATATGAACCGATGCTCCATCCGTGCTTGCCTTTCGCAACATAAATTATTTGGAATGGATTTGGTAATGATATTAGTTGTGATATTTCTGGTTATAAAAAGGATTGAAATTGTTTTCAAATTAATGTTTACAGCTCTACCTACAATTACTAACTAAACTTTATTATCCCTTCCAAAGGTTTACAATATTAAGTCAGATCAGACACTTATGTACAATAAAGTCAATAGCACGTGCAAGGAGCAGCTGTAATTAGGGGTCATGTGCCTGTGGACGCTACTTGTTTGCGTCACTTCAAAGTAAATTATATGAGAGAGTTCTCCCGGGAAGTTGATGATCATTCGTGTTATGCTGACATCTTCATTTCAGCTTATCAGAGAACTTACAGTTCCATTTTGTTGAATTGAGTGAATAAGCTTGCTGCATCATCTATTTATCGGCACCAATTTAGTGTGACCACCTTATAGTCCACTTGAATAGACGTGTTGGCTTTCTTTAATAACTTTTGATGCCCTAGATATCCCTGGATTGCGTTCTTAGTTTCTTGCTGACCATGATTTCCATGTTGTCATTGTAGGTTGTTGCACCTATTCTTTATTGGGAATCAACAACTTTTAGTAGACCAGCTATTGCTCTAATATGTTTTGGAATATCGACTTATTCCCAAGTGTTTTGTTACCTTCTTCGCCCTTCATGTAGCCTGCGGTGGACCTGGCTCTCCCCTCGTGCAACATTTGTTTTGGGTCTACCTCTCCCCCCATGCGATCCCACACGCCCGTCACCACCCTCTTTCACCCGTCCGTGCGGCGGACCCGGCTCTGCGCTCCCTCGCACACATGGTCTTCCCCTCCCCCTCTCGCACACGTGTGACTCACGAACTCCTCTTCTCATCTCCCACACGGACGAACCCTAGCCCTCAATCACGCCGAGCTCGCCAGAACCCGCCCATCCCGAGCCCAATTCCGCTCGAGTCCCGACCGATCCGGTGGCTCCTCAGCAGCACGATCTGGGGCATTGTCCCCCGTGAATGCTAGCCTGA